CGAAACTTTATAGAATAATTAACTTTTAGTTATTCTGGATTTAAAATGTACTTTTTATAGCCACTGTGGTTAGATTTTTGTGGAGCGAACAGATATACGTCTAACGGGTACAAGTGATACTGTCGTACTGGAAACTGATAATAGGTATTAATAGAAAGAAATTCAAAAGTAACAAAAACGTAATTCCTCTAAAAATGTATGAGTAATGTGTAACCTTATTTATAAGTTTAAATAAAGTTCCTTTTAAAACTATTTAAGCTTAATTTACCTTTCATTTCAAATAAAATTGTTCCGGTACTGGCACAGAGTTGTGATTGTTTAAAAATGGGGAATTCCATTTGGTTTGGATTATAGCACAACAAAATATTCACTGCATTATAGTAAAGCATTGTTTACTACTGCCACTAAAACAAAATATATTCATTGTTTGTGGCATTATGGTGGGCAATATAGCAATATAGCTATATATAGGCGCGAATATTTATCTTAAAACGTTGAGTATCAGCGATCGTGGCCAATGACAAAAAAACACTAATATTTAAAGACATTTACTAAATGAGTTTTAGAACTTAAAATAATTAAGGTAAATTACCTAAATCAAAAGCAACATTTCTGTACCTAAAAGTAATTGAGATTTTGACTAAATATTTAGGCATTTGTCTACCTTTTTAAATTTGAGAATTTTATTAAAGTATAAAAAATTATTTAGAAGTTAGCGAATACAGCATAGACAAAGCAGTAGATTCTGCCTTATGAGCTTTACTCTTTTAAGCATATTACCTTATTTTTCCTTCAGTAATTCTGCATAGTGGCTTGATTTTGAACAGTGAAGTAATAGCTTGACATGTCCCATATTAGTATATTATGTATCAAGTTTGATAAACGCCATTTTAGTCACTAATTTTATCTAAATCAAATGAGTAAGCACGATCAAGCCTGCGAGTGAGTACTTAATTAAATGAATGACTAAAATGTTGTTTATAAACGTATAGTATACTATACTTTTTCTACGACAAATACTTATTATTATCCAAAAAGGATTTAAATAATAAATAATATACATAATAATATTAATAATAATAATAATATATATAATAATATTTTAATAAATAAATATTTATATAGAGCGACATCTATACAAAAATAAATTAACCGTAAGAATGGGAATCTGTATTACTGGCGCGCCGGTGAAATTGATTTATTTGTATGTGTAAATCGAAATATATCCCTTGAAAATGGACTAACAACATTTTATCCCAGTGAAAGTGAAGAAAATGTTTTATGGACACTACACGGTGGAGTGTCCACCCGAAATTAAGTTAAATTTAGTTTACTGCTGGCGAAATTAAAAGGTCAGTACAATGTTCATATAAACTTTTCAAATATTGGCGTTGAATTTTACAATTTGGCATACAGTGCCTCACCTGGAATTTCCAAACAAGCGCATCAATTTACAAGATAATTGCTATTGACCTGTTTTTTTTATTTCAAAAGCATCTTGATTTGCCCATCGCTGTCAACGACTGGGAATCACATTAATACGAATTCGTATTGACGTTTTGCATTTGTTTTAATATTTTTCTAGATAGATTTTTAAATTTATTTTTACAATGTTTTATTATGGAAGTTAATAGATTTGCATTTATTATTTTAGAAATTGATGACTAATCAAATATCAAAGAGTGGAGTTAAATAAAGTATGTGTTAAAATATTTTGTTTTATTTAGCACTATTTAATACTTTAGAATTTTTGTATTGGAATGATGAAATATTTTTTACATTTAGTATTATTTTACAAGAAGAGCACTTTATTTTAATGATTATATGACATTTGACAACTGACAACTAACTTAAAACTAACTTCAGCCCGTGACTAAAACACCACAACTTGTCAATGTGTAGGTATATATTTAAAAGGTCACTTAGTGTCTTGGAACATGAACGATAATGGACGTTTTAAAGGTGGGAGTAGAAAAATATATTTTGTCAGAAGTCATTAAACAATTTCTGGTAAGTTTTCGCTAAAATAAAACTATAGTTGTATATATACAGCTGGTAAACTTTTACAGGTTTTTAAAGCTTTCCCAGTGGTATCAGAATATCCGTCAGGCCCAGTTTAAAGGTCCGTCCAAATTTTGGGTAATATTTTTTTAAATAAAGCAACATATAAAACTGATTTAAACGATTCGTCAACACATTCGGGTATTTCTTAGTCAATTCTTCACATCTCTGTAAATAAAAATTTCTTCTTTGACATGTGATTAAAATGAATGATTTACAAACAGTTTCTTATATTTTTAACCAGGTTATAACAAAATTTTTATCCATCTAATTTTACAATTTGGCATACAGTGCCACACCTGGAATTTCCAAACAAGCGCATCAATTCACAAGATAATTGCTATTCACCTGTTTTTTTATTTCAAAGGCATCTTGATTTGCCAAGACCATCGCTGTCAACGACTGGGAATCACATTCGTATTGACGTTTTGCATTTATTTTAATATTTATCTAGAGAGATTTCTAAATTTACTTTTACAATGTTTTATTATGTAAGTTAATAGATTTGCATTTATTATTTTAGAAATTGATGACTAATGAAATATCAAAGAGTGGAGTTAAATAAAGTGTGTGTTAAAATATTTTGTTTTATTTAGCACAAGATTTTGTAGTCATAGGTCATCGATTCCGGTACCGGTAATTATATATCTAAACAATCCGGCTGGTGCCTACCTACCTGCTTAATTGTTTCATGAAAAAAGTCCCGAGCAAATCAAGGTCTACTATTTTAGCACATGAATAGTACATAGTGTATTATGCAAAACAATGCAATAATAATTGTTAGTTAACCACTGTTATAAAAGAAAAATACAATTTGATGTAAATAAGATGGGTAAATTTGGAACACCCTATAATTATATCACATCTCAAAAAAGAAATTTTACAGAGATGTGAGAAATTAACTATACTTGTGGAAATATAAATTTTTAATTTTTTTTTTAAATAATTTTTTATAATTTCTTTTGCTTGTTATAAAAATACGATTTACGTTGAGAACCTTTCATTTTGTTGTACAGGGGCGCAAAAAAATACAATTTTTTGCAAAATTAAAAATTTTTAAATATAATTTTTAGAGGAGCTTGTTAAAAGAAACCAAAAAAATTATGTTTTTGTTTCATGTAAGTTGTTGTTACTAAGATTTTGTTATTAAATCAATTCAGGTCCTAACTTGAGTGGTCCTAATATTTTGTAGGAATTGCCGGTATCTCATTTAAAAGTTGTTGCTTTCAACTGACACGTCCACAATTATTTGTTAAAATTTGATAACATATCTTTAGAAAGATGCTAACCTAAGAGCAGAACATTTACTTGATCAAGTGATACGGCATTGGAGAGGTAAGACATAAATACACAATTGAAATTTTCCTCTGCAGATTTTCCGTTTCTCTAAATGGTACGAAATTTGGTGGGTAAATTAAATGTTTATGGTGATGTTAAAGATATTAAAAAAACAAAAAAGACTTATGATGAAAATGATGCTTTAACAATTTTAGTATTAGAGTCAGTTTGAATCGGGTGGGTGGTATTATCTTTGGGTGGTATGTCTAAATTTTAAAGTCATGTAAGCACTATTTTGTCCTCAAATAAATTTCACGCATTTAAACCAACCTTTATTCATAAACTTCAAGAAGGCGATGATTTATACCGGCTAGAACGCATGCTGGAAAACCATCATTTTCACCATCATATCACATTCAGTGACGAATCTACGTTCACAACAAACGGAATAGTCTCCAGTCAAAATTGTCGCTTTTGGGCAAATGAAAATCCCCACTTTAGGATTTACTTACTATAGTATGCGTTAACCTTTATTAATAATAAAGTAATTGGACCATTTTTCTGCAAATAATTGTTTGGAAATTCTTAGTAAATACTTGTTGCCTTAATTGAATGAACAACACAAATTGATACAACAAATTTGTGAAACATTGAATGTACTTACTACATAGTTGCTATTTTAGCCTATCATCAATAGTTTTATTTTAAATATCTAAAAAAAGTCGTAATTTTTGAAAATTTCCATTTTCTAAGTAAAATTACTTAAATGATGTACTTATTTGGATAGGTAGTTATTTTCTTAATTCTAGACATAAATATTTTTTATTTTTTCCATTTAGCCCAGTTAAATTGAGCTTTAACTTTACACTAGTGTCACTATAGTAATAATGACTCAAAAGTTCCAAGAGAAATCGCAACGATGCCAAATATCGAAGGTCGTCCCCATTACCACTTAAGGACGTAGGTTACAAGTTTTTAGCTAATTTAAATTGTTTTTGGGGAAAAAATTTGCTACTAGGGTATTAAACTAAATGTTTTTTGTTGTAGCACATTTTTTCCAAAAATGAATTTAAATTGACTAAAAACATCAAATTTTTTAAATTCTCTGTAAAATAGTTGAATATGAGATAAGCCCTTATGTGATAATGGGGACGAGTTGACGAAAAACGGTCTATCTTGAGAAGATTTTGCATTATATTTTTGTTGCAAACAAAATTTCCTGGGCTAAATCGTTTCATAAGTCTTTTGGTTAATCCCTCTAAGAAGGCCGAGAAGAATGTGAAGATTTGCCTTGACATAAACAAATTGACATAAATCGCAATGAAAAATCATCATAAATGTTTTAAAAGGGTGGCCCTGAACCTCAACGTATCGTACCATTATAATTGGTAATTTAAACTACAAATGCAAACATAATTAAAAAGTATTAAAGTTATTTATTTAAAAAAAGATGCCAAAACATAAAAGGATTTCCGATAACGTTTAAGCAAATTTGGTTTTACCATCCTTTCATTCAATAGACTGGTTCATTGAGTACCACTTTTTTGTTATTTAATCCGCAATGAAAATTCCGCGCATTCACAGCCGCTTTATCCCTACCATTTCAAAATACATCTATAGCTTATAGTATATAATCCTAAAGCACGCGTGTTCGGCAAACAGAATAAATCCGTCGTTCAGTACAGTGCTGTGTCTAGTTTAGAGACTGGTCTAGTTAGTATCTAGTGTGGAAAAAATAATTAACATCGCATTAAAGGATTATTTTTGTGGAAGAAAACATAAATCACCATGGACGTGGAAGAATTCCGAACCCGTGGCAAAGAAATGGTGGACTATATATGTCAATATATGACAAATCTGGATGGCTACAGGGTTCATCCGAACGTAGAGCCCGGATATTTAAAAAAATTGCTTCCGGAAGAGGCTCCACAACAGCCAGAAGAATGGAACAACATTATGGAAGATGTTGAAAAGAAAATTATGCCAGGGATAACTCATTGGCAACATCCAAGATTTCATGCCTATTTTCCTAGTGGAAATTCTTATCCGTCCATTCTTGGTGACATGCTTAGCGATGCCATCGGGTGTATTGGGTTTTCATGGGTAAATATTACAATTTTAAATATATAACTCATCTTAACGCCTAATATTGTTTTACTTTTATTTTTTCTATAAGAGTATTAATTTACGTAAAATTTTTGAAAGTTTAATTTACACTTGCAAAGAGAAATCAATATTTATTACTCATCTTAACGCTTAATATTGTTTTACTTTTTTTTCTATGAGAGCATTAATTTATTAATATTCACGCTAAAGAGGAATAAATATTCGTTTTATATATTTATCCTCATATATTCAATTACCTTATGTTTATTTTTTATACGTATCCTTAACTTGTAATTATTGTTGCTAATTTTATATTTTTTATATCCTGCACAACATATTTATTTTTTCTGGTTGACAGAATAAATTTATTTATCTCAAGCTATAACGCAATAACACTTTATTTTTATAATTCGTATTAAGTCTTTATCCTTCGATTCAAAGATCAAACGGTCACTCTAAGGATTCTTATTGTGTCAGAGGTTTCTCTATTTTTAATTTAATTTCTTTCAATTGTATTACCCCATAGGACAATAAAAAATAATGTATTTGTTCAAAGAATTAATTATAGGCATAACAAACAATATTAAATATTTCATGCTAAAAATAAAGTCAATTAATTTGATTTCACAACCACATGCTTAATTTATTTTTAAACCCATTCATAATACCTACTATTTATTGAAAATTACCATTATTTTTAGATAATATATGCACATTTTTTAACTATTTTTATTTTATTTCAGGCTGCTAGTCCCGCATGCACAGAGCTGGAAACCATCGTTATGGATTGGCTAGGTAAAGCGATAGGTCTTCCAAACGATTTTATAACCTCAGCAAAAGGTAGTCGTGGTGGTGGAGTAATACAAACCTCAGCAAGTGAATGCGTGTTGGTTAGCATGCTTGCTGCTAGAAACCAAGCAATACAATACCTCAAAAGTAAAAATCCACAAGTGGAAGATGAAAGTGCCTTTTTGCCCAAATTGGTAGGATACTGCTCCCAGGAAGCACACAGTTGCGTTGAAAAAGCTGCCAAAATTCTTTTAGTAAAAATAAGAATATTGGAACCTGATGACGATGGGAGTTTAGGAAAAGAAACTCTAATTGACGCAATGAAAAAAGACAAAGCCAACGGTTTGTTTCCGTTTTTTGTGTCAACTATTCTAGGATCTACATCAAGCTGTTCTTTTGATAACTTGCAAGAAATTGGGCCTGTTTGCAAATCGGAACCTTGCACTTGGTTACACGTTGATGCTGCCTATGCTGGAAACGCTTTCATCTGCCCTGAGCTAAAACCATACTTGATGGGAATTGAATATGCTGACTCTTTCAATACAAACCCAAACAAGTGGTTGTTGGTAAATTTTGACTGTTCCTGTTTATGGGTACGTTGTAGAGTACGACTTACATCCGCCTTAATAGTGGATCCACTCTATTTGCAACATGCCAACTCTGATGAAGCCATAGATTACAGACATTGGGGCATTCCATTAAGCAGAAGATTCCGGTCTTTAAAAATATGGTTTGTGATAAGAAAATATGGTTTAAGTGGTCTTCAGGATTACATCAGGAATCACATAAAACTTGCCAAATATTTTGCCTCATTAGTTGAAACAGATTCAAGATTTGAGGTTGTTAATAATGTCCGTTTGGGTTTAGTATGCTTTAGACTAATTGCTCCTGACACTGTAAACCAGACCTTATTGGCCACCATTAATGCTTCTGGTCAGTTGCACATGATTCCATCTATGGTTCGGGGTAAATACATAATAAGATTCTGCGTGACCGCTGAAAACGCTGTGCAAGAAGATGTAGAACATGCATGGAGGGTTATAAAAGAACACGCTTCTGAACTATTGGCAACCAACAAAAAGGAAGCAATATCTCGTCCTCCTCTAACAAGACAAAAATCCAAAAGATTTTCGTTTACAAGAAGTGTATCAAAAGAACTTTATCAAAGGTCCAAAAGCAAATCAAATTTGCACGATGGAGCAACTCCTATTCTTGTGGCTGATAGTGACGAAGAGGAAAATCAGATTAATAAGGATGATATTTTGGATGCAATCACGAATTGCAGCATTGCATCAGATAGTGAAGACGAAATCTTTACCGAAAAAGTTAATGAACTCAGAAATCAAACTATGAAGGAAATTAAATGTAATGGAGTGTAGTATTTTACACTTTTATGTTTTATTTGTAAATATTCATGATAAGGCAAGAAGTGGTTTAATCAGCCTCTTCTATGCATTTATTTCATTTTATAAATTCAGTATTATTAAGTTAAGGTAATTTATTCCTATTTTATTTTTAATTTTAATTTTGAGCAAGTGTTTATTTTTATATAAATAAATGTTTTTATAAAACGTTTGACTTTTTATTTACAACTACATATTAGGTATGGAAATGGATCTTCTCTGACGATGAGTCAAAAAGACACTTAATCTTAAATAATGTCGGTAGTACGAGTACATTCCTAAAAAAAGGTAATTTTGTTACGATACATTATGGGATCAGACCTGTAATATTTTACCGGCCGGTATAAAAGACCTGTAAAGTAGAAAAGCAATTTATGGAATAAAATGGCACATTTGACACATAAATTAAAATTTTAAATTTGAAAATCGTTATCTAAGGTAAAATAAAAGTTTATACGTGTCACGCTTTGCAATTAATCTTTACTAGGCTCAATAAACCATGCATTACCATAGCAATTTTCAGAGGTAAACAAACACTTTATTGTATTGTTAAAACAACTACTTTACCTGGCACTAATTTATTAACTTTGATAATTTCATATCATGAATATGACATTTAATAAAAAAAATCGTTTGTCATGGTCGAGTATTCTCCATGGTGAAAGCAACCCTTTCAGCAAAAAATGACATGACATTGGCAAACATAAGAAACTTACGGCTTTTTAAACAAAAAGCAAGGCATCATATTTCAAAGAAATGCAAGATTCTTTCACAAAAATAAACCTTATTTTTTACCAGATGCACCACAGTAAAGCTACTTATTGATGAAGGTAGTTTATGCAAACTTTTCAAAGCCAATTTGATATGAATGTAGTAAATATTTTAGTTTCGATTTTTTATTTCGATTAAAACTCCTTCGACATCAGAAATAAATTTACACTGATCTCCCCGGGTTATTTTACCCCCTTTCAGTTCTCCCACGTATGCCGCCACTGCACAGCATTACCTGTGTTTGGTGGACCCGAATTTTCACCCCGGCTGGTAAATCTTGCCTAGGAGGTCGTGGATGACAGTGTCGATGGTTAAGGCCTAGCCGGCGCGCCGGGTCATACTCCCGATTTAGGCTAGTGGAGTGCGGGACAAGGAGGGAAAACATTTTGGTTTTTGTGGGAGATTAGACTGACCCAAAACTAAGTACAATTCGGTATCCCCCTCAACCAGGGATTTAGAAATACTCCCATTCAATTGGGATTCATGAATGGGGTTTGGTTAGTTAGTACGCTGCTATGACCCAACCCCACAATTTCTTCAGTGTAGAGTTCGAGTACTATTGATATTTTCGATGGTCGGTAATGCAGCTACCGATCGATAGTGTCCGTCTGCATCTGCTGAAATTATGCTGAAAAATCGGTAACCACTTTAGGATTGTTTGCCCCCTGTGAGATAATGAATCTTATCTTCAGTACCGAAGCGCTGCCGACCACGACAAGTCGTTAGCAGTGCCCTCTGCGTTCGTGGAAATTCAACCCCTCATGCCAAGTACCAACTTCATAATATGCAGCTGTTTAGCCAGCCGTCATTTAACTTGCTGAAAATGCTAATAGATTTACATGAATTATTTTATCCCTGTGCGTAATCCTTAGGGCTTAGTCCCATCTCGGGACCTCCCATCTCGGGACCTTTCCCATCTCGGGACCCAGACCCTAAGGCATAATGTTTCCAAAATTAAAAAGTCCCATCCGGGACCTATACAAGGTAATACATTTTTATACCTGTCATGAACAAAATACTTAAGGCGACTGCACGGCTTTTTGTTATTAACGGGACACTTTAACAAAAAACAAAATTAGCAAAAATCAACAAAATGGGCAAAAATTCAATAAAAATTAAAAAAAGCAGAAATTGTAAAAAAAACTTGTAAAAAATGGATATTAATTAAACACAGCAAAAATGAGCCAAACTCAACAACACAACCCTACCGACCCCGCCCCATTGGCCCCCCATATGTAGGTTTGATTTTTAAATGTTTTGTGTTTGTTTATCCATAAAATAGATTGAAAGATATATAACTTTCTAACGCTTAAAATATTATAGTTTTAAAAATATCTTTGCAGTAGCATAAAATAGACGCTTTTAATAATTTTGCAAAATAATACAATATTCCTTCAATGCTTACATGTAAAAACTGACCGCGAAGTAATCCTTTTACTTAGGTCCTTAGATGGCACTTTTAAACTTGTACCTGTAGACTCGGTCCCGAGATGGCACAGAAACAGGTAAATTTTCCCTCGGTCCCGAGATGGGAGGTCCTGAGATGGGACGACACCATCCTTAGTTGTCGTTAGTTGCCCTTTTTATGACTGCGTTGACTTTTCTGTGTTTAGGTTACTTCTTAATTACCTGCTCGTTTGTATTTTAAGAGACAGTTGTTTATTTTAGTTTTGCTAAATTTTAAACACTTTAATTTTTTTGGGACTGGCCTTTTAAGTTTATGTCAGATTTTACAGCTGATGGCCCCTTCCACTCTTGGTTAGACTCGTTAGTTCTTTACATAAGGTAATTTGGCCTGTGGTTAGTCTACCAAGTATGATGTCACTTTTTACTTAATTACTTCCGTGTCCGTATGGCCTTTATTAACTGTTCTCACTTGTTGAGAGGTTGCTTTTTAATGCACTAATTTAATATTTCTATTAAGACCTTTCAGAATAGGTGCAATGATTTTACCTGCACAGGTAGTAAGTCTATGCTAACTACACTGTATATGAGCGATTTTTATTTTCTTTAAGGCTTTTACTACTATAAGGTACCTAGGTACACTTAAGAGCGTTCAAAAGCACATTTGTTCGACTGCCCGTCTGTATTGGTACTGCACTCTCACTTGGTACATACATAACTATTATTTACTCCTACATTGACAAACTGCGACTTTATGGCATTTTAGTCACGGGCTGAAGTAGGCAATAGTATATTTTGGGCATTTTAGTTACAGGCTGAAGTAAGCTTTATTATAAACAGCAAAAAAGTGAGGTTACAAAAATGGCGTTAAACTGGATACTTCCACATTAAAAGCTGTGACTATGCGTTTTAGTCACGGGCTGGAGTTAATTATAAATTGGGGATAAGGGAGGTTAAATCCGTTGACAAATGTTTGTCTTTAAATTCTTCTTTGTGTTCGTCATAGAAAAAGACTTGGTATAGTATGCAACTCGTTGTATACCTAAACTTTTCTAGACACCCGTTTTTATTAAACACTCGCTTGCAAGCTTCGCTCCTGCCTAATTAAACTCCTACTTAAAATGGTGTTTATAAGTTTGATACATAATATAGGTACTATAACTTGGATGTGTAATTTATTTTGAATTATGTATAAATTTCTATAATTAAGCTAGAAATAAGAAAATTAGTTGCGTATGTATTTTTTATTTATAACCCCTTATTTTGAATCATGATTATTTTTATATAAATGAACGTGATTTTAATAAATCTTTTTATAAATTTTGTGTGGGGGATTTATCCGAGTCCAAGTATATACGTCTTAATCCAGTCAAAAACACCAAATTTAATATTTTATTAAAAAATATAGTGCCTATAAATAAAAATAATAATTAATTGAAATATTTAATTTCATTTATGATTTATTATTAAGTGTTATTATTATATAAATATTAACTGTGCCTCTTTGTAATTTTGGGGTAGCCAAACCCGGCCGCAGTGTGAATTTATATTGTTTTAGCATGTATGTATATATGTATGTATACATGTAATACATGTCATGTATATAATAAGATTTTAAGATTAATTTTTACTAAGTATTGAAATGAGAACTCGAAATACGTTCTGCCTCAGTCGCACTCACATTAAATATAGTTAATGTATTTATTTATTTTATTTTGTAACAATGCATTAACCTGGCGAGTATTTTCAACAACTTAAACCGTCTGGCTGTAAATATATTTTTTAAAGGCATTTCGAAGACTACTTCAGGCTTGTATGTTACGATAAACTAGCCTTCGAAGGATTTTCAGTGTAAGAATAATTTAGACCAATCGGGTTGGGTTATTCCAAAATCATCATAGTCGCCTGTCGTATAAAATCGAACATTTATTTGTTTTTTATTAATAATTTTTATAAGCGTAAAAAAAGTATATTGTTTAACAATTGAGAAATTTGGCCATTTTATAAGGGTGAAATATTTTTAAAATGTCTGGGATAAATACTCCGAAAAGGAAATTTTAAGTCTTCTAATCGGTATAATAAAAGTGTTGTTTTTTAAAATAAAATTGGCCTTAAATACGTATTAGATTTTGTATAAATAAACCTTATGCGACTTTCATAAAAACGTCAACGTCTTTAATATTTATATACAATTATGATATGTTTATAGATTTTATGGGAAACATACATAACATTAACCAACATTAAATTTTATTAAATCGTATTGTAACAGTATGCTTTTGGTAAAATATAAAATATCTAACAGGCGGAGAAAGCGCCTATTTAAAGCCGAGGGAAGAATCGATGTTTCTGTCCATTTTTCAATAATTTTCTACGGGTAAACAAAACAAATTTACCTAAGCAAAAAGAAAAACTACGGGTCTCATGGATTTCGGTAGAGAAACTGTAAAAACCAGGAGTTTTTATGAAAAATGATTTTTTTATGTAAAACGCATGATAAAAAAGTTTGTCACATTGGCAAGCCACTGTAAAAAATAAATCGAAAGTTTTCAGTAGATAATTAAAATAGAGTATAATATTTATTATTTATAATAAATAATATAATTATTTAATTATAAATAAAAATTAAAATTTTAAATAGCATTTTTGGGAATCCCCGTGAAGTAAATCTAGTTCAAGGATTATTATAAAAATTGTGTTTCGAATGGTGATGTTTATTCCTTTTACGTCATAAGCGTCTTGCGAATTTGTTATATAAAGTACTTACCCATATATTTAAATATGCAAATAAAATGTATTTTTCAAGATAATACCTATCTACCTATCAATACCTACATACATATATTCAAATGCGTAATAGAAAGGATTACCAGCATAGGCAGGTACATGAACATCCTGTCGGAAATTATTGACTTTAAAATAAATGTTTAATCTTTATATTGTATAAATGAAAATATAATATTTTAAAAATATTTTTTACTTCGTGAATATT